ACTAAACACCATTTGTGTCCCATCTCGCCTGCCATACACGCGGTTATGTGTTTGGCATTACAACATAGTTACATGGTTATGTGTAAACGACTATCGTCTGATGATTGCTTGTAGGGTTTTGTCAATCAACGATGGCGTATAGCACGAATATTAAACTATAATCGAAATTCTATTCTCCTTTCTACCTGATATATATATAGTAACGAATATATATATATATACATTTATTTATTTATATGATATCCCCATGAATTAATAAGTCTACCCAGCAGCTAGACTGACTATACATTTTTTTGAAAATCACCTTGATGACAGCAGCAATTCAGCTCACGAACTGATGTGTAAACTGTATGCAGCAAACTATATACAAATTCAACGTGATTTAACTGGAATTATCTTTGCAGTCAAACATATTTATCTGGAGAATGGCACTTCTTTAGGCAGGCCTTCTTTAGGCACTTCTTAGGAGAATGGCACTTCTTCATAAGAGATAATCACTACATTCACGTTTCACACGAGACTGATTCTGTGGGTCGCGTTGAATCGACATGTGTGCAAGTGTAAGCGCTGATAGAGTCCATCCACACGGACTTGTAATCAGCTCAGTTTTATACAGTAAAGCGACATTTTGTCACATGCGCACGCAAGTGACAGTCGTGAAAATCCAGTAATACCCCAGTCACACCAGGGCCCCGATCTCACTACGCGCGTACTACGCTCTAAGAGCGTGGTGAAAACGTGTAGAACGCAGTGTGGACGTATATGGACGTACTGCGATCGTGATCGTGCGCGGTGCAGTCAGCATGAGCGTGGGGAGCGTGGCCAAACTTTGAACATGTTCAAAATAATCGTTTGTTGCTTCCGCGCGTGCGGAATACAGCGCCAGTGCGGGCGTATTAGCCAGACGTTGGAAGGCGTAGCTACCCACGGGAATCCGAGCATTAGCTTAGACCTTAATGGTTCGTATCGCAAGCGGTCGGTACAGTGCGTGAAAAATTGTCGCCCTGTTCTTCAGCCGATGTCAATAACGTTTTCATTACGTTTTATTGGGGTGCTACCCTGGCCGCCCACCATGTTTCAGTGTGCACTATGCATACCGGGCACACGGACTCATGCTTGTTTCTCGTAGAGGAACTCGAGACTTACTTGATTGCCAGCCCTCATCCTTCCAGAGCACGCTCATTTTTGTGTGGCTATTTCACCAAACGCGCCCCAATTCTGTTTCTATATTTAATACGTATCCCTATGCCGATGCTGTGACGAGTATTCTGTTTTGCTGCAGGAGGACGAGGAGGGATGAAACTTAGTACAACATGATGATCTTGCTGGACGTGTGCTTTGTCTGTGGGCTTTCGGTAGGAATAGTGTACGACTTCTTCTTATGGATCCACTATAGATTGCCTCAGGGTGGTGAGCTCCGCCATGGAGACTTAGTCCGGCATTCCTTCTTCAACTTCTGAGGATGTCCGGAGATGTTCGAGTGACTGGCTTGCAGAACTTGGGGCCTGAGATTCAGAAGCGTCCAGGAGTCATCTGCTCTGCATTAAGAGAAGCACTTGAACTTGAGTGAATGGAGGATAGGCTTATTTCTGTGTAAGCTGCAAATTTCACCATAAGGCATCTAGCATCGGGTGATAATATCCCTCACTTCAGTTGACTTCAGAGGTGGCCCGCAAACACGGGACTATCGCTCTTTGGTCGCAGAGGCTGGTTGCAGGGGTTTGTAGAAGAACACAAAGGGAGGGTCCTTTCGTGTCCTCGCATGCAGGTAGAATGGCATGCCATTGCGAAGATTTCGGAAAAAAATGCGAAATGCTGCCCATGCTGCGGTGCCTCGACGGAAACATGTGGCATCAGGTATGCACGAGAATTCTGGCCTCATTGTATCATACTATAAAGGGCTTCCTTTTCCGTGGTGCTTTGGTTTGGTGGAATAGCGAACGACAATGTTTGGTGGTGGATAGACGTGGGTGGATACGGTCACGTCAGCGACTCAAATTTACAACGAATCGGCGAATTGAAGATGTTCTAGGAAGATGGATCCATGGCTTTCCTGATCCAGATCCCACGCCGAACGATTGACAGGAACATTGCCGCTTTTTCTGGGAGCACCGGATGCTTTTGTGAGAACAGACCCTTATGAAGCATATCAGCACCGCCGGCAAGACCACAGAGAAGACGCATGATCACCAACTACGGATCTCCAGAGGGAGACGCGTGGGTCGAAAAGGCATCGGGGGACCATATCTGGCCAGAGGATGGCAAGCTTCTATCTCAGAAACATGCCAGCCAAACTCCAAGGACAGATGAGCCTATCATTCGAGACTTGCGTCTGCTCATAACCTCATGAGAATACGCTACCCAGTGCCTTCAAGATGCCCAGCTGACATGAGACGAGCAAACATTACATGGTGCAGGCTCTGGAGAAGAAACAGCAAATATGCACGATGTCAATCGATGTGGGACGGCTCACCGAACCGTGAAAGCAGACGTGTGGCGCGCAAAGAAGCAGAGAGGAGCTAGCCTGGAATGGCTGCTACTTTAACGTGTCGCGAAGGATCTGTTGCCATGGCAGGACCGTATGATAATGTGAAGATGGATGGACTACGTTGAAGGATGGATTTTATGATACATGATGAAGACAGATTATTGACTGTAGAGGCTAAAATAATTGTCTAATAAAGAAATGTAAAATGTATCTTTTAAATAAATCCAAAAAGACACGATTATTGTAAATCCAAGTCCAATAAAGTTATGTTATATTTATGTTAATAAAGTGTAAAATAAAGATATGTCATACATATATTTGAAATATATCAAAATACATGTGTGTAATAAAAATGAAATTACTATTTAAAGATAAAAATGTGTTGCACTCATATGATTGGTAACACATTTTTAATTTGAATATTTATTCAAGTTCACTTTTATTACTTTGAGGGCACACAGAGGGCCCTGAGAGCACACATTGAGACTTTTGAAAGTGGGCCACCTACGCTTCGACAATGTGGGCAGATTTCTGACAAGCTACTTTGTTACACACAAAGCTACAACCGGATGCAGCCACGTACACGCACATCGTACGTCTATAAATTTTACTGGTGGCACTTTCACGGCCTCTCGAAAGTTTGTTGAAAGTTTGAAATCTAAATTTTTCATAGCCACGGGGTAAGTTTGAACAATCGTATTTATCGCGTTCATAGCTTACAATGCCTATTGCTGCAGACTTTCAACATAATCTGGCAGTAAGAATACACACCAGTGAAACCATCGCGCCCCTTTCAGGACTCCCTTGTCCACAACGATTTATGGTGTTTACCAGAAACATGGTTATTATACCATATATCGAATAATCCTATCATGGGCTACAATCGCCTGGGCCAGTATGTCGCATGCAGTATGTGCGTGTGCGTGTTCGTGTGCGTGTATGCGTGCGTGTACGTGTCTGTGTGTCTGCGTGCGTACGTGGGTGCATGCTTGCATGTGTGTGTCCCTGCAGCATGATATCGCCATCCAGGCTGTAGCACAATCGGCTCCAACTATTTCAAACTGCTGATACTCGTATTGGCACTCATGCATTTTTTTCGTGCTGAAAACCGGAATGCAGCATATGAGGTAGAAATTTTATACGTATTCATGTTTCTATTTCCGCAGAGCTGGCTCGCTTGCATGCCTAGGCCCACACCTGTGCCAGCTGGGACCTCGTCAGCAACCCCACTACAATGACCGCTGCGCTTTCAAGCAGTAATCAGCGCACACGAAAACCATTACAGGTTTATGTGCTTATACCATTTCCGGGAGCAGACATGGCAGTTATGTGCACGATACGCTGTGGATGAGCCAAAAGATGGCGAGCAACGCTGGGGTTAATCGTAGAAGTATAGCCCTTAATTCGCTCTGTCACTGCCTGTGGCAGAGCAAATTGGACTATAGTTCTAGAGCTATAGGGTTAAATTGACTACGTCACGAATTTTCTGGTGTATATTTGTATGTTTGTTGCCATGTTTTTTACATTAAAAGTAAGTACTAGCGGGACTAAATGTATCCTCAGATTCTTACCGGATAAGATAGTTTCTCAACTAGTTAAAAATCCAAAAAACCTGGACGATATGATATTATGATTTTGACATTAATTGCTTGCTATGGGCTATGTATTGGTCACGAGTGTATGTTTGCATCGAACAATATAGTAAAATAGAAAGTATAATGCAGCAATTTAACCATAAAAAGTGAACAGAATTACTTATATTTTGTGGAAAAGTGGGGAATTTTTTTTTATAGCTATTTACGGTGACATAATCACTTTAATCGATGCATAGTATATGTACTATACGCCCGGCCCCCCCCACTCCGAGGTCGGAAGGACCGCATGCGCGTTCCCAAAATCTCCGGTAAAGGGGTATTTTTCGCGCAACAAAATCCGGTCCAAGAATTGTAAAAAAGGGGGTGTATTTGACTTTTCACCCGGAGCTTTCTTTAAAAAGGGGGTGTTTTTTCTCTCTCTCTCTTTCATCTTGAATATCATAGAAAACTTATACTTATAACTTATAGAAACTATCATCAAATCCCGGGATCAAATTCCTGAAATTCCTGCTAGTTTTGAGAGCTCATTCAGGATTATTTCATTTTGAAAAATAAAAATATTGCTGCCTAGTTCCCCTCGCTCACTGAACTCTACACTACGTAGTGTAGACTGGTACCCGGTCGACAGTTCCACACGCAAGCTACACTAACGTCACTACATCAGTGTATAGCGAAGGATACGTACCGGAGTGAAGGTGGCGAATGGGTACCAGTCTATACGTAGTGTTCCGGATTTAAGGGGTTCTCCAAGGCAGGAAAAGCCCGCAAAAAGCCCGCGAAAGGGGGGTTCAGAAATTTTGGCAGTCCTGAGATAGGGGGGTGCTTTCAAAGGGAGGGAACGAGCATATGCGTACTCTAAATAACACTGAGTGGGGGGGGGGGCCGGGACTATACGTTACCTAGTTGGACCAACTCACCGATAAGTAGCAGGGAGATCGTGACAAAGTCCGAGCCAGCGACCTTCAGTCCACCAAGAATACCAAGAATGATGCCGATGACAACACAGGTCAGACCGACCATCCCAACGAAGACCACAAACCACCGAATTCCTGCCGGAAATAATAACATGCTTTAGCATATACACCTTCGGTACACAAGAGATACACATTTGACCTGCGAAACAAATTCTTTCAAATGTGAATTTTAAAACTACCGACAGTATTAAATACAACTTACTTACGTCTGCACATACAGTATTGTAACCTAGCAGGGTAATAATGTAACCCTACTCTGTTGGGTTACATTATTGTATCTAGTCTCCATCACGCGCATGGTAACAGACGAACTGATAGATATCCTACCAAGAGCTATTATGTATTAGGTATTATTAGCTCTTAATCCTACCTATAGTTTGATTCATTGCCATGCCGCAACAGCCTTTTGGCTCCATGTCATCAAAGGCCGTGTCAGCTCCGTAGCACCTCAGCCGGGGGGCGGTGCGCGTTCGTCTGCTCTCATACCTGGGCTGCGTCAAGCATGGCACCGTGCTGCGCTCTCCTGGTCATCAGACGGCAGAATATTGACAGTATTACGACTAAGTTACTGCTACTCGTCCTATTCAAATTACACGAGCCTAATCACAGTAGAAAACGCACCGACATCATCCGTGCGACCAATTGATAAACAAGATATTTGATAACAAACCATTTATATGTTTATCTGCTTAAATCAAGAGTGTATGCTCTTAATGCTACCCCCTTATATCCATCTAGACCTCTGTATCTCCTTGGTCCTTTCCCCAGATCAAAGAGAAGCCATCCTGAATAACTCGACATTGCAACGTCGCTCTCCACCCCATGCACCCTAACCATGACACTAAAAACATGATCATCTATCAAACAATGCAGTACTATGCTGGTTAACCCAGTATAGTGCGATGATGAATCTGGTGAACAAGTATGAACAATGAAGAACAATAATGACGATAAGGAATGAAGGATAAGTTGTGAGCAATAGTGAGCAATAGTTACAGTAACGAATTATGGGTAAGTAGTGGTGAACTATTGTGAACAATAGTGAACAATAGTGAACAATAGCGACGACGAGAAATTAAAGATAATTAGTGCGTGACGTGATAAATCGCTGCAATCTCATTGGATAACGCAGCAGGCACTATGAAGCGATAGTGAGCGGGCACTATCGCTTGCGCGACGCATTGTTATTATAACGCATTGTGTTTACGTCACGAATCTCCTGCGTCTGGGCGCCACACGCAAGAGTAATTTCGAACGGCGGTTGTGTTTGTGTCGAACGTTTTGTTACATCGAATGCACCGGCAAATTAGGGAGTATAAAGAAGGTATATATAGGCATGAAAAGTAGATTGCATAGTCATGTGATGCACTAAAAACATTAATGCCTGCTGTTGGGGCACTATGCTCTCATAGTGCCCCCAACAGCAGGCATTAATATATAAGTAGTGGTGAACAATGATGAAGAATGACGAACATTAGGATGAACAGTAATGAGAGCATTGGTGGTACCTTCTCGCCAGCCGTTCTGGTCCGTGTTGATGTGTGCATGCAGGATGTCAGGAAGCTCCGTCGGGCTGTATAGAGGACGCAGCACAATGCCCGTGCTTGCAGACAGAGCGTGTGGGTTCTCTATCGTTATCTGAGTCTGGTACGGATTTTGCCAGGCCACCTGCCCACTGTTCTCACCCGCAGCTGTCGTGTCACCTGCCTCGTCCCCTCCGCCATTCGCCGTGCTGGTGTCGGCGTTAGCTCCAGCGGCGCCCTCTTCTTCGGCGGCGGTGGCGGCGGTGGCGACGGGGTCGCGGGGACCATCGGGGGTCGGCGCTGCATTGCTGCAAGTCGTCGAAAGCGTGTCTGTGCTGCTGTACAAGGAGATGCGGGTGTCGACCGCCGCCCGACACGTGGCGCCATCTGCCTGCGCTTGCTCTGCCGTGTCGCGGCGAGTCTCACTGGCGGTCGACTCGCGCTCGGGTGCGACTCTGCACTCTGCCCGCACGCCATGCCCGGGCTTGCCGCCCCGCTCTGACCTGCTCCTACCGGCGACCACCGGCGCCCTCTCTCTCCTCTCCTGACTAGACGTTACGCACGTGTTCGAGGGTCCGTTACCGCCGACGAACTCTGTCGTCACCTCAGTGCTGCCACCTACGTTCAGCGTGATCTCGGGTGCCGTGACAAAGGTGGCCACGACCGTTGCAGCCTCCGCCGACACTGAGCTCGGTCGCGCCCCGCCGCACCGTCCCGCCGAAGATCCGGAACCACACCTCTCCTGAGTGCTCCCGTGGGATAACGCGACACTTCCTCTCGCCGCAGGTAAGTGGGTGCCGTTGTCCCGGCAGGACGGGCGAGCGGCAGCATTAGTGCGAGCAGCGGACGACAACGCACCGCGTGACACGCCCACGCCATTAGCGCCGGACGCGGTTGCATCATCGACACGATCGCCGCGTTCCTGCTTGCGGATGATGACGACGTTGATGTCTCCGGTGGGTTTCCTGGCCGACGCGTCCGCACTCCGGCCAGCCGCGTGCGCGGATGCTGCGTGCGCGGATGCTGCGTCACCACGGCGTGCATCGGTTTTCGAGGATTCACGCAGTACAATTGCACTCCTCACCTGCTTCCTGCAACCATTAGCATTGCCGCTGTCGCCGAGCTGCGGCGAACCAATCAGGATACGTGTACCATTCGTCGGTGAAACTAGTCTGTCATCCTTGTCGTCGTCGTCGCACGCGAATGCGCGGTTAACGTTGCCGCACGGTGGCGCCACCACGCCACCCCGTGGCAGCACTAGGTTCGAGCGATCATCGCCCATCTCTCACATTCACCGCAGGGTTAGCCTGCTGCTTCACCGTACGCGAGCATAGGCGACGTCAGGTTGCATCTGTAAGAAACACAAATATCAGTGTTAGGGCCCGATCCCTTCTAGTGTGAAAGTCGAATAAGTTACGAATCATTGCATAACTGATGTGCATGTCAGAGAGTAATTACACGTAATACAGTTCACGTCTCTGAGACAAAACCAACATTCGAGAGAATTATTAGTCTGCCGTGGCCTAACAGAATCATGAAATATTAAAGCGCAGGTAGACGCCCTAGCGAAACCCTAGGAAAAATCCTCCGAGAAATATGGTCAATATAGCGTATGCTGCACCGACAGTACATTGGCCCACCACTCTCTGCATGGGCTAGGAGCTACAAGAACACAGTCTACTTGTTATGTACACCCTGGGGAGGACCCTGCCTTGGTAGAGGCTGCTAAGGAAAGGGCTATTGGACAGCCTCACTGTAGGGGCCGTGGTGGGGCTATTCACAGATCACAAATTACGTTAATAGGGACGGCTGGCCGTAGCATCAATAATGCACTGGTCAGCCACCCGCAAATACAGCACGTTGACACTGGTTTCTCATTCTTGTTGTTACTATAGGAACTGCGGCGCGTGCCACACGCTTCCATCATTTGCTCAGCATCTAGACTGCCTAGAATATGTACGGCGGCATCACGCCGATACAGCGCACGTTACATTCCTCTTCACTACAATTGTATTTATTTTGTCACGATGTTACGACACGCGTCAAAGAAACTAAGAACGAACGCACCGAAAAAGGCTCGTGTGGGCTGCGTGCCAAATGCTAATTCATTATCAAGATCTATAACAATTACATAGCTATGATGCGCATAGAATCCGAACTCAATTAACAACAATGATTCATACGGCAAATGTTTACTTGTCTGTAGCCAGACTAGCCAGTATGACTAACGTCAATGAACCTTATCGATCAAGGTCAATACGTCTTTAGATGCATAAACCGCTTCTTGCTGCCAACTCGGCTGGATATGATAGCGAGAGTAGGCAACGCACGATCCGCGTCAGTGCAAATGAAAGGCACGAGATCTGTCCGCCCCTGCTTTCGCTAACATCCGTCAAGACGTGTGAGAATAACTCGCGACCTCGGCGCTGCATGTTGCCGTCTTGCCGCGTTACACTACAGGCGACGCGCCTTCCAACCAGGAAGTCACCCATTCACAGGCCTCAACGCAGCAGCAGGAGACATTACCTAGCTAAACAAACAACTCTTCAAAGGGCAGGCAGAACTTCTCTGTGATCAACCTCTGTAGTTTCAGTCCACCCACTTCAGACTTACGGGCGCTAACGCTATGGGTTAGGGTTATGTCGGTGGGAGTGAGTCGTCGGTCATACCTGAGTACGAGGGGGGGGGGAACTCAGGTAGTGTACACGGTAAACACATCCCATTAACATACGGGCATAGATATACCACTATCTACAACAGCTTAGTTCTAGTGGTGAGTTTAAATATTAGATTTGGTGCCTTATACACGTCAGTAGATGACAGCATGCGAACATACGATACAATGATAACTACAGCATTGCGGTGCGTACTGTGCAGGTGACTAGGGTAACAGAACTCTGCACGGGGTTTTCTATGCATCACGTACGTATGACCTATCGGATATGTGAACAGCCCTGAATAATCCACGTGACATCATTCATGGTCATGAAATTTATCCATTAGTTGTTCTCTTACACTTGGTTACTTCCATTCATTATTTAAAATTTCATTATTTGGTTCTTTTTAATGAAAAGAATAGAAAGATTTTTTTTTATTCTTTAGTGATCATTCCAACACAATGAACGCGGTGTGACGCGCTTTATTATTAACTCTGAGCACTGCTCATGCATACCAGTTTTCACTAATGCATCGCTCGCTTAGCGTCTCACTTGTCATAGCTGCACCACTGGACCACTGCTTTTCGAAATATAGCATCGATTCTTTTACTCCGCTAGCAATCATAGCGTGACAGCACCGCATACATACAGTAGTAGTGCATACATACACGCACACGCACATACACACACACGCACATACACACACATACATATATATATACACGCACGCACGCACGCACACACACACACACATACACAACACACACACACACAAACATAATAGACATACAGCACAGCAGTTAGCAACAAATACGTGGGATATCAGCTACATCTACGTAGTAAGATACAGTTACAACCACCACAGCTGCTGCTCTTGGTAATGATTTTAATTGCAACTTAGGGGATCCTACTTGCATACCACCTGTGACACAGCTTGCACGAGCAACAAGACAACTTTATGACCCCACTGTCAGATCCTACGACTGAAATTGTTCAGCACATTGAAATAATATAAAAGTTGATTAAATGAGATCTGCTGATCATTTTAGAGCATCTGGGAATCATCTTTAATGCCACGAGTACAGTATACGTTACAGCGTAGCCACGGTTAGGAAGCTAACCAATATCGCCGGCGCGTCTACGGCAGTCACTGCGAACAAATTCAATGTGTTCACTTTTGATATGCAAATTAGTATTAGCAGACACTAAGTTACAAGAAAATGGATTAAATCACGTTCATGACAAATGGCATCGCCCTGACTCAATTACCATATTACCAACGCATGAATGCAGGTATAGTGATACGCCTTCTTACAACAATCCATGGCAGACGATTCAAAGGTTTTCAAGTTTCCCTGCACACCATAGTAAAACTGCTATGCGAATGCAAAAAAAAGTAATTCCTTTAAAACATTTGACTATTTAACGGTGGCGGCGGAGGGGACGAATGCAGAAGTGAGGCGAATGGACACGTTATCTTCATCTTTCGACTTGCATGTTCAGCCAAGTAGCTTTTATAGAAAAACATCAAAAATATAGTTTAATTTGGTAGTTTTAACGAGAAGGGGGCACGAGAGGTCAACAGGTCTCAAAAAGAGACAATGAAGCATGAGGAATCCCCTGAGTAATATATTTACTCTTCTGTTTTTCATAGATTCACTTATTCACACCATAGTTATTCTGAAATTAAAATAAGTGAATGGACTGGGACTACTTTTTACCAATGCTTTGCCAACGCTCTGCCACACCTTGCAATTGTGCGGTATTATAATGCACGGTGTAGTAGCAAGGGTCTGGTGATCACAGGTGATTAAACCTGGGTTAGCCCGTAGTTATATGTAAACGGATAGATACTATTACCAGTGCCTCGGGTTAGCAGGTGTCAGAGTATATGGAAAGCATTTTGTACCAAAAAGCATAAAACCTAGTTTTAAGAAGGAGGAGGAGAAGGGAGCTGCTGAGGAGGAGGGGGGGAAAGGGAGAAGTTGTCAGAGAAAGGAGGGGGAGAAGGGATCGAGAAGCTGTGGAGGAGGAAGTGAGAGCCTGTGGAGAAGGAGGGAGGGGGAAAGCTAGGTGGAGAAGGAGGAGGGAGAAGCTGCCCTGGACGCAAGAACCGAAAGGGGGAAGAAAGGAGAAGCCTGGTGAGAAGAGGAGGGGGAGAAGCTGGTGGAGAAGAGGAAGGGAAGAAGGGAAAGTGGCGGAGAAGGAGGAGGGGAGAAGCTGGTAGAAGAAGAAAGGAAGGGGAGAAGGGAGAAAGTGCGGAGAAAGAGGAAACTGGGAGAAGAGGAAGGGAGAAGGGAGAAGGGGGTGGAGAGGAAAGGGAGAAACTGGTGGAAGAGGAAAGGGGAGAAGGGAAAAGGTGGTGCGAGTAAGGAGGAGGGTGGAGAAGCTGGTGGAGAAGGAAAGGAGGGGAGAAATTTAGAGTCTGGTGGAGAAGAGGAGGGGAGAAGGGAGAAGGTGGCGAGAAAAGGAGGGGGAGAAGGCTGGTGAGGAGGAAGGGGAAGAAGCTGGTGGAGAAGAAAGAGGGGAAGAACTGAGGTGGAAAGGAGGAGGGGAGAGAAGGCCTGGTGGAGAAAGAGGAAGAGAAAGGTAGAAGCTGTGAGAGAGGGGAGAAGCTGGTGAGAAAGAGGAAGGGAAGAAGGAGAAGGGCGAAAGAAGAGGAGGGGAAGACTGTGGAGAGAGGAAGGGAGAAGGAAAGGTGGCGAGAAGGAAGGGAGAACGCTGGGGAGAAAGAGGAAGGGGAGAAAGGAGAAGGGGTGGAGGAGGAAGGGAGAACTGGTGAGGAGGAGGGGAGAAGGGAAAAGGCTGTGGAAAGGAGGAGGGGGAAAGCTGGGTGAGAAAGGAGGAGGGGGAAGAAACTGAGAAAAGCTGTGGAGAAGAGGAGGGGACGAAGGGACGAAGGATTGGCGGAGAAAGAGGGGGAAGAAGCTGTGGAGAAGAGGAAGGGGAAGAAGGCGAGAAGGGAGGAGAAGGAGGAGGGAGAAGATGTGGAGAAGGAGGAAGGGAGAAGCTGGTGGCAGAAGGAGGAGGCGGGAGAAAGGGAAAAGCTGTGGAGGCAGGAGGGGGAGGAAGGGAGAAGCTGGTGAGAAAGGAGGAGGGAGAAGCTGGTGGAGAGGATGAGTAGGGGAAGAAGCTAGGTGGAGAAGGAGGAAGGGAGAAGCATGCGTGAAGAAGGAGGAAGGGAGAAGGGAGAAGGCTGGTGAGAAGGAGGAAGGGGAGAGAAGGGAGAAGCTGGTGAGAAGGAGGAGGGGGACGAAAGGAAAACTGGTGTGAGAAGGAGAGAGGGGGAAAAGCTAGTGAAGAGGAGGAAGGGGAAGAAAGGAGAAAGCTGGTGGAGAAGAGGAAGGAGGAGAAGCTGTGGAGAAGGAGGAAGGGGAGAAGGGAAAAGGAGGACGGGGGAGAAAGCTGTGAGAAGGAGAGGGGAGAAGGTAATAGCTAAGGGGAGAAGGAGAGGAGGGGGAGAAGCTAGGTGAGAAGGAGGAGGGGGAGAACTGGTGAAGACGGAGGAACGAGCAAGGGGAGAAGGAGGAGGAGGAGGGAGAAGCTGGTGGAAGAAGAGGAGGGAGAAAGGGAGAAAGCTGGTGGAGTTAGGAGGAGGGAGAGAACTGTAAGAGAAGGAGGAGGGGAGAGAAGGGGAGCAGCTGGTGGAGTAAGGAAGGCAAGGAGGGAGAAGCTGGCGTGAGGAATGAGGAAG